TTTTGATTTTCTATTGTTGCATTTTTAGCGTTTGTCCAAACCATATATTTTCTGAAAGCACAGGCCCGGTAGAATAAAAAGATGGTGCTACTAACTTTGTGGGTCCTGCGATAATTGCGCTAACGTTTGTCCAATCAATATTAGACTGATACCCTTGAAAGACATCTGACACTCTTTTCACTTATAAGTCTAATTAGTGCACACCTTGCCCATCTCCAGAGGCATCTAAGACTAAAGAGATATGTTAAAGGTCTTTTTTTTTTTATTTCACTTTAGCTTCTAACCCCATACAGATACCACATTAACTTTTCGTCGCACTCTCCTGGTTTCTGTGCCGGATTTTACTTCTTGTCCAGTTTCCATGTCTGATTTTCCCCTCTGTTTTAAGTGCTTGGCTGTCAGCCTATGGGAATTCACAGGGCTGCAGCCAATCTTCTCACTTCCTTTCGTATTTAGGTTCAGATCATTTGTTGCTCTGGGTTCGAGCAACGAGTCTGTTCTCTCCTGCCAGACCCTCCTGTGTTGCTAGTTGTTTCCCTTGCAGTTTCTGGAGTTATACCTGGATCTCTTGTTCCCCTGGATTCCTCGGGTACCCATGTGGATTCCTTGTGGTATCACTGTGCATTCACCTGTGTGAGTGGCCATACCTGTCTGTCTGCTGATTGCCATTTGCTTGTGTGTGCCATCTCTTCTCTCCAGTGTGTCTGCTTTCCTTATCTGCTCTGCTCTTTCTGGGTCGCCTGTGCTGTGTACCTAGTTGCTGTGCTAGTTCCTATTTCTCCCTGTGAACCTGTTTCAGCATTGTCCTTGCGAGTACCTTCCTCGTGTGTAGTACTGTTCATTTCTAGGCATCTCCCTTTGTGCCAGCCTCACTTTCTGGGAGTCATCTCCTGACTTTCTTGGGCCCTCCCAGTGTAAACTATTTATACAGTTTTCCTTTGTGTACGCACATCTGCATGCACCTACCTGTGGATCCTGCACGTTCTGCTACACCTGCTCCCTGTGGGTTCCTGCCACTGAATCCTGTACCCCTGTATATGCACATCACCTGTGTGCATCCTGCACCTTCTGCAATGCACGCTTCCTGTGTACAGTATTCCTTGTGTGTTCCTGCCACTGAATCCTGTACCTCCAAGTTCACTCATCTCCTGCTTGAACCCTCTTGTGTATCCTGTACCCCAGTGTTACGCCCACTCCCTGTGTGTATTTTCTGCCTTATCCTACCGTGCACCAGCATCACGCTCCTCGGGCGGCATTTGTCTTTTCTCTGTGTTTTGTACCAGGTATCCCATTGCACTTCGGTCAGTTGTGTCTGTATGGGTGTGTCGGAGGGCCGCAACCTGGGAGTTGCCTCGCCGCACAACGTCCTCACCATCAGAGGCTCTAGAGAAGAACAGGCTCTCCTTTGACCCACGTTTACTGTGCAGACATTCTGTTTCTGGTCCTCTGCGTTTAGCACAACTTGTGTCCCTTTACTCCCCAAGACCTGCGTTCTAGGCCTGTTCTCTGATCTGGACTGCTGTGCAAAACTCGGAGCTCATGATCCTTAGTGCCCCGATTCCCAGACCAAGACACTTGTTTTATTATTCAGCAAGTTAAGGATATCATATGCAAATGTTTAAAGAGTAGGGATGCACCGATTCCAGTATCGGTACCGATACTGGACATTTTCACGAGTACTCTTTAAATTTTGAACAGTAGCTGCTGCCGTGAGGCCCCGTCTTAGTTGGCTACCTCAGGGCAGCCTGCAGCAGCTGGCTTTTTCAGCACCGCACGCCAGCGCAGCCCTGGTGAGCAACAGAGTATGTAACTTCATATTAGTCTGCATTGCTGTATAACATATTGCTTGAATTTGTAGTCCTCTATAATTGGTGCCTTTCTGCTTTGCTGGGATTTGTAGTCCTCTATAGCTGATAGTATTCTGTACTGCTTTATAATGTATTGCTGAGATTTGTACTCCCCTACAGCTTGGAGTCAGTGGCAGAACTACCAGGGTCACAGCGGTTGCAGCTGTGACTTGGCCCTGGTGCGTCACCACTGTTCTAAAAGCATTAGTCTGCATTGTCCTAGATGAGCGGTCACAATCTAACTGTGCACATGCGAGATAACCTCATGACCGAGAGATGCGATGGTGTAGAGTCCTTGTGGCTAGAACTAGATAGGACTGATGCTAGTTGTAAACTAATTGTGGGTGTGTGTTATAAACCCCTAAACATAAGGGAAAAGGAGGAGGCTCACCTATATTCCCAAAATAGAAAATCGCCGGCAAGAAGGGAAATGTTATAAATGGGTGACTTGAATTATCCAGACATTGATTGGTCACATGGAACCTCTCATTCTATAAAGGCTGGACGTTTTCTGAACCTGTTTCGGGACAATTTCATGGATCAGATGGTTGAGGGCCCAACCAGGAAGAATGCTATACAAGATTTAATAATTTCTAATAATGCGGACCTAGTTGTAGACATAGCGATTAGGGATACATTGGGTAATAGTGATTATAGGGCGATTACCTTTAATGTTGGATACAGAAAAGAGAAGTGTGTTGGTCTCACAAGAACGCTAAATTTAAGAAAGGCGAACTTCGATAAGCTGCGTCATCTAGTAGAGGACAATAAAAGGGACAACTTATTTCTAACACAGAACATTGACGAGAAGTGGGATTGTTTTAAGAATGCATTACATAACACTATTAGCAAGTGCATACCACTGGGTAACACAAATAAAAGATCAAGAACTAAGCCTGCATGGCTAAATAAAACAGTAAAACAACATATCAAGGAAAAGAAGCTGGCCTTTAAAAAATATATAAGATGTAGCACAGGAATGCCAGCACAGTCCCCTCCAAGGAATGCAACAAGGAGATGTAAACATGAAATCCCGGAAAAACATATCGCCACAGTCTGCAAGAAGAACCCAAAAAAATTCTACCAAAATATAAAACAGTAAAAGGGTAAGAAAGGAGCAGGTAGGACTATAAAAAATGAAAATGGGAGAATAAAATCACAAACGACAGGGAGAAGGCTGATGTGTTAAATTCATTTTTCTCCTCAGTATACACACAGGAGAAAGACAGGTTTAATGGGTTTAATGAAGGTAAGAATGCGAGTAGCTCAGTGCGTAAGATACCACAGTGGTTGACAGCAGCCGGAGTTCAACAAAGACTGGAAAAACGTAATGCAACTAAAGCACTAGGACCACATAACCTGCACCCCAAGATACTTAAATGCTCGGCCAGGTTATAGCGAGACCATTATTTCTCATTTTCAAGGACTCCATAATGACTGGTATGGTACCAAGAGCCTGGCGGAAAGCTACAGTAGTACCAATATTCAAATAAGGTTCAAGATGCCAACCTGGGAACTATAGACCAGTCAGTCTAACATCAATAGTATGCAAACTGTTAGAGGGAATGATAAAGGACTATTTAGTGGATTTAGTGGATTTCGTTTTGTGACAATGGTATAATAAATGATAATCAACATGGATTTAGGAAGGACCGTTCTTGTCAGACCAACCTACTGACATTCTACGAAGAGGTGAGAAGAGATCTGGATGGAGGGAGGGAGGTGGATGTGGTATATCTAGATTTTGTCAAAGCTTTTTGACACGGTACCACATAACCTCTTAGTACACAAGCTGAAATCTATGGGCATAGATGAAATGTTGTGTACATGCATAGAGAACTGGCTACAGGAGCGTGTCCAGAGAGTATTGATAAATGGCTCTTTTTCAGATTGCCCTATGGTCGAGAGCGGCGTGCCCCAGGGTTCTGTGCTAGGCCTCATACTGTTTAACCTGTTTATTAATGATATTGGGGAGGTTGTTAATAGTCATGTCTCCGTCTTTGCTAATGATACTAAAATTGGGAGGGTAATAGACACGGACTTAGACATTATAGAAGGGCCTTGATAAAATAGGGGAGTGGGCAACTACATGGCAGATGAGATTTAATGTTGAAAAATGTAAGTAATGCATTTTGAGGTTAAAAACAGGCAAGCAGAATACACATTATTGGGTACTCCACTAGGGAAGTCAGATATTGAAAAAGATCTGGGTGTCATAATAGACCACAGAATGAATAATAGCTTGCAATGCCAGGCTGCGGAAAACAAAGCTAGCAGAGTACTGTCTTGTATTAAAAAGTGAATGTACTGTAGAGATAAAGCGACTATTTTGCCACTTTATAGATCATTGGTGCGGCCTCATCTGGAGTATGCGGTCCAGTTTGTCACCAATCCGCAGAAAAGATGTCCTTGAGCTGGAGAGAGTCCAGAGAAGGGCAACTAAACTAATTAAGGGGCTGGAGGATCAAAGCTATAAAACAAGGTTACTAAATTTAAACACGTTCATACTAGAAGTTAGGAGATTACGAGGGGACATGATTTTGATGTACAAAACGTTTAGTGGTGATGGCAACATCAGCAACAAACTTTTTACAGTAAACTCCATAACAAAGACTAGAGGCCACCACCGAAAACTGGTGGAGAAAAGATTTAACCACAAGGGGCGTAGGGGCTTTCTTTCAGTTAGAGCGGTTAAAGTCTGGAACTCGCTGCCACCAGAAGTGGTATAAGCTGAGAGTATTGAATCATTCAAGCAGCATTTAGATAACTTCCTCACAGACCGTAACATACAGGGGTACAGGTACACTTACAAAAAACAAGGTCACACAGGGACTCGTGTACACACATACACAAAGGTTGAACTTGATGGACCTGTGTCTTTATTCAACCTCAAAATACTATGCAACTATGACGCTAAAAAAAGTTATAATTAATTGGTATCGGCGAGTACTTGAGGAAAAGTATCAGTACTCGGTCTGGAAAAAATGGTATCAGTACATCCCTAATAAAGAAGTTATTTATTGCTTTTCTATTCTAAAAAAAAAAAAAACATTAGCAACAATTATGTATTCAATGAGCAGAAAACAAAATATTCCTGTTGTCTTTAACGCAGTATGTTCGTACAAATCTAATCTCATCCTGCAAAATACTTACTCGGTTCAGTGTAATAGTATACTGCTCCCATATTGTCATCTCCTCCATCTCAGGGACCTAGAAGAAAATAAAGGTGAACATAATTTTAACAGAAAAATAGAATATAGTTTAACAAACAAAGTCTATTCACACTTGCCACTTGCATTTTTTTATGCAGAGATCTGTCTGCAAAATCTGTACGGCTAGATGCTTTGTTTATGCTTCTAGATGCTTAAAATGACGTGCGTTTACACGCATATGTGTTTAGATGCATCTGTTTATCCCTGAAAACAGTCGATTGAAGTAGCCAATGAGATTTCAGCAAATAAACGCGTCTGCATGCGGTTTGGTTTATTTAGAAGTTCATATCAATTCCTGGAGGCAACTGATTGACTTTTTATGGCTAGGTCAGTATGCCTTACGGCGGTGGCATTTACAGTTCTGCTATAAGCTATGCTCATGGTCGCTGCTTTAACGACCATGAACTTATAGCAGAACTGTTCCCTAGATGGTCCCCTTTAAATTAAAAGCCGTCATCAGCGTTTACAAGCCGCTGATGACCGCTGTCATCCTGTCAGTTTCCGGGTGACAGCGGCTGCGTGCATTGTCGAGGCGGATTGGTAAATATCAGTGATATTTACTGATCCTCTGTGTGAAGGACAAACACTGGAGTGATCGTCTGATCACTCCAATGTTTATAAATAACTGGGGACACACAGTACTATGTGTCCCCAGTTATGAATGAACAGGATGTGATGTACATCACTTCCTGTTCATTCATGATTTTCTCAATGGGGAGTAGCACTGAGCACAGAGGCTTCTCCCCATTCAGAAACTGGTTGATATTAAATATTTTACTATGCATCGATCTCCAGGGATCCAGTGGTGGTTCAACAAACTTGGTAAGTTCATCTCGGGAGCACATACGGCCATTGATCAAAAAATCGCCTAACCTGCATTTCCCCATAACCCTCAATTTCTTGGAGTGAACTCAATACAGTTTTATGTTTTAGATTGTCAGAAAAGTAAAAAATGTTGTGTGCACCGATACTGATTTTACTGTGCTTTATCAATTGAATTGTGTATTTTTAACGGTTTAATATGAATTCGAGAAACATTTGCGCAATTATCGCAGGGCCTACAAATTTAGTAGCTCCATCTTTTTATTCTACTTGACCTGTGCTTTCAGAAAATATATGGTTTGGGGTTTTTTGTTTTGTTTTTTACAAACGCTAGCAACGCAAATCAATCAATGTCAATGGGATTAATTGCAAAAATGGTGTGGCCAGCTGAGGTGCAAAAAGTTTCGGAGGGCTTGGCAGCGAAAGGGTTAAAGGGTGCCGTGACAAAAAAAGCTTGAGAAACCCTACCCGCAGTTGACTAACAACACAACCTCAACAAAAACTAAACTGCCTCCCTAGTTCAGACCTGCTAAGCTATAACATGCTCAAATAAAGTTGCAACACCAAGATCATTTTTTTTTTATTCTTTTGAATGTGCCCGACAGAGTTTATCTTCTTTCATAAGAGTTTAACAGAAAAATAAAAACGTACAAATTTAAATACATAGTTTGGCCATTTTTTGCACAATCTGAAATCAAAATACAGGCAGTCCCGGGTTAAGAACAAGATAGTGTCCGTAGGTATGTTTTTAAGTTGAATTTGTATGTAAGTTGGAACAGGTACATTTTTTAAGTGCAACTCCAGCCCAAAAAAATTGTTTTTATTTTTTGATAGCATAGGTAAGGGTTAAAGACCTGACAATTGGATTTTGAAAATTTTGGGTTGTTGTGGTAACAAGGATTGGTGATAAAGCTTCAGTGGAGACACCTGTTTCCCATGATAACTCTTACAGGAGTGAATTTACCTATCTAGGGGCAGATTTCCTCTCACTTCCTGTTGTCTCAAGGACAGGAAGTGAGAGTAAATCTTTCTAATGAGGATACAGACAGCAGTAAAAACCTCACAGTGACCTAGAAGAAGAGGCGGGCACCCCTCGTCTGTGCGTCTAACAAGAGCCAACTTCCTGTAATGTACGTACAGTACTACAAACCAAATGTCCCCCCCTCCCCCCCAAAAAAACTAAAAAAAGGTGGGCACTCCTCGTAGACACAAGTGCGTAGCATTACAACTACTGAAATGCTGTGCGGTACACTTTGGCTGCAGCCTGCAACCCGCTGCTGTACATTAATAGCCTCCGTTTGTAAGTAGGAGACGTATGCATGTCGGATGCTTGTAACTCGGGACTGCCTGTACACATTTAAAATTCTTATATTTGCCTTAAAGTAAAAGGTATTAACATTCAGATTTGTTTGTTGGCCGTTAATTTTTTGATGCAAATCTATCAAGTGATATTTGTAGAATGTACCCTCATGTATTCATCTTTGTATTAAAGAGAAAGTATAATCTATGTTAAGTAAGCGCATATTTAAGGTTATTTTGCAGTCCCCTTTCACACTATTGTGTAGCAAGGTGTTTGTGTCCCGTGTTTGCCACACGTCCCCATTGATTTCAAGGGGTGCTCCATGCACAAACGTGGGAAAGTTGTGCATGTAGCAAAACCAACTACGCGCGTACCATGGTTTTTACCTTGTGCCTAACAAAAAGCGCATTTGCTTGCCTGCGTTTGGGGTAACATTAACATGAAATGGCACCACAAGTGCGTTGCATGGTTTTTACGTGTCCTATGAACAAGTGTCAAAGCGGCACACAGAATGCAATTTTACATGCAATCACACATTTGGGGACGAATGGGGACTTAATTTCCTGCTCTTGTGTGATCACTGAGAGCGTGGCGCTGTAATCACAGCACCACCAGTCTCAGCAGTCACTTACTGCAGCTTCTGTCACAGAAACTGTGACAGAAACAGCCTGCGTACTATGTACCGGTGCGCCCTATGGAGCGCAAAATACGGTATAGATATATATCTATCTAGATAGATCTATATAGCCCAGTTTCTAGGGGACAAACACTGATCCAATGTGCTGACAGTGGGAGACTTCAAGAAAATGTTTGACACTACTGTGGGCAAACTCCCAGCCCTGAAGGGGCTTATACCACCTAGTTTAGAAACCTGTGTAGGGAGCTGGGTTTCCAGGAGCTTTGGAGCCTACCCAACCTCCAGCCACCTAATACTCCCCTCATTTAAAAACTCATAAAAACGCTATCTAGAATAAACCTTGCCCTAGGACTATGTCCTTTAGTAGTTAATCTACAAGACTGCAGGGGGGGGGGGCTGTATGTGGCCCTGTAATCTAAGTCACTTATGGTTGAGCCTATTCTAAACCCACCCCACTATAGATTCTGAAACCGCTTTCAGAATCTAGAGTGGGTTGCTATAAATTTTACACCATGCATGAAATAGTTTGGGACATGCTGAAATTCTAACTTAAACAGTTTGATGAGCCAATCTTTGCAAGTAGGAAAAGACCCGCCCACTGGTTCTTGGTGCAGAGTATGTATGACGCCTTAATTGCCGTTAATCCAAAAAAAAACAATATTAGAACCCTCTCATGGTGGATTTATACCACCTAATTTTATTCCTGCATACTAGTGTTAAGATATTGGCTAAAGTCCAGTCCAACAGAATTGCCAAAGTAGCATCTGGCTTTATGCCAAATAATTCCATGGCTATTAATACTATATGTATCTTCATGCACGATGCAGAAATACCTATAAACAACATCAGTAATAGGCAAAAAGCTCATGAAGCAGTCTTCCTGAATGAAGTAACATTCAGGTACACCCTAATGGCCCACACAGTGAAGGTAACAATCTCTTTGATAAAAGAAAGAGATTGCATATAGGAGAAAGTCTCGTTCTCAGGTCCACAAATAAGGCCACTTTTTGTGACATGGTCAAAAGGGACATTAGTCCCCCCGTGAATAAAGTTATGCACAAAGGACTGCATAGCCGAGGGGGCTTGGAAAAAGATGGCTAAGGCTGAAATCTACCCCTAATAGTGATCAGCAACAGTCACTCATATACTCCTGCTCAAGGAACAAAAAAAACTGAAAAAAAGTGTGAGGATTTCCAGCAAACTTTTGCATAAAAACAGAATTACAGGGGTTCTTGGTTCACATATATTGCAATACACATTTAAGCTGCTCAGTTGCATCAAAAGTGATCCCCCCTCTGGCCAGTACAAATATGGGGACGAGAGACAAGTTCGTACATATGGGACAGACACACGCATGACACGAGGACACAGCAAGAGATGAGGAGTTTTAATCTCAGAGTTCACAAGGGGTTTTTTACTGTGTGAGTAGTAAAAATGTGGCATTCCCTTCCACAGTCAGTATCTGTTCATAGCATTGATAAACTCATCTAAATGTTTCTTGAATTTGAGTCCTTAAATATACAGGGATATGGAAACTACTAGAGCCAAACACATACATACATACATGCACACATACACACAGGTTGAACTAGATGGGCCCGTGTCTTTATTCAACCTTACCTACTATGTTAACGCAAAAGATGCTAAATAAGCCTCTGCACGTACATTTCTAACAAACTTTTGCATAAAAACGTACACCCGTGTTTGTCCCATAATGGCACTACATGTTCAAGAAAATAAGAATAGGGACTGGCCAGAGAGGCATCATTTTGAAGTGGCTGGCTAGCTTGAACATGTACTGCAATATATACAAACCAAGAATGCAAAAGAATGCTACAAATATGTAAGGGTGTATGGCAGTGTACAGAGGTTTAATTCAGAATTTTCAGAGTTCTACAGGGTTATTCACAAAAGGGTGAAGAGTTTGGAGAAGGCAGGAGAAGTGAACAATCTAGCACAACATTGCTGAACTGGAAAGTAAGCCGAATTGGATACATTTCCAAATCAGCTATTTTGGCCTAGATTGTTCACTTCTCCTGCCTTCTCCAAACTCTTCACCCTTTTGTGAATAACCCTAGTTATTATGCTAGTCTTATTGCACGGAGTTTGAGTAAACTGATGGGGAGCTGGGCTTTCTCCCCAGTCTAGCAACCCTGCACTGACAGCGAGCCCAGGATACCTCCTATATCATGAAGACTCATGTCCATCATCACAATATTTCACCGAAGTAGAAGAATCCCTGAAACA